CAAGGGACTAGTAATTGGTGGTGTTTGGATTGTGTGCATTATGGGGAATATCATCCGCCTGTGTTACCTAAGCATTGCTTTTGATTATATACTTATAAAACTTGATTGTGCGGGACTAAGCAGCATGCCGATGCTAATAAGCAGTGGCATTTTTCGGTGGAGGGCGAAAGAACCCGGGATGCCATTAAAGGCGGCGATTGAGGCACTTGTCATATTTTTGTATTTGATAGAAAGAAAAAAAAGAAACAGAAAAGAAAGTAGATAGGAATATTTCAGTTATAAAAAGTATTATGGAATTTATTTATAATTCAGTCGCAAATCGTTTGTGGCATGATGGAAAGGAAATAACCCAAAAAGGGATAAATAAGAAGGAAGAAAAATATTTCGTTTTAGGACCAGATAATCATTGAGTCTCCTGACAAAATAACAACCAAACCATCTTTTATAAAAAACCGGCTAACGAGGGGTATGTTTTTTATTATCAAAAAAAAATTTCCAGCCAAGACCGGCAAAAAATAATGACTTGGGAGTTTACTAAAAATGACCTGCTGAAATGGTCGTTTTATGGAGTAATAATGTGAGAAAAAAATAAATCTAAAAGAAAATAGCATTATGCCTTTTAACAAGGAACAATTAAAAGAATATTATCAAGAAAACAAAGAATTATTAAAGGCTAAACAGAGAGAAAGATATCGGCAAAAACATGAAAAAACATCAAAAAATATTTTTCCTCGATCCCGAATAAAATATTGACTAGATTGAAAAAATAAAATAATTAAGCCTAATAGTCCTGGTCTAAATGACATCCCTTGATCCGAAGTGGAAAAATATCCGATCGCTGTTTTTTGTTCGCAGAATGATTGACCTTATATTGAAATTGAAGAAAAAGAAAAAAAAATAATTGCGGATGAAAAAGAAAGGATTTATAAAATTGGTCGGGCCACTATTAAAGAGATAAGAGGGGGAACGGAAGAACAACCAGAAGGATTAGGTACTCAAGCCTTAACAAAATGCTGAAAATTATGCCCTTATTTTATTAGAGAACATCCTAGTCATAGTAAAGAAGTATTTACCGGAATTAGTGATTGAGTTTACTCGCCTCGTTTTGAAAATTTACAGCAAGGAACTTTTAAAAATATTCACAAAATAGATATTAAATCCTGCTACGCCAATATTATGCGAGATTATCCCTTACCTTATGGCGAACCAACTTACATCAAAGATCCAGATGAAATTTCTAAACAATTACAAGCCGGTAAAAGTGGTTTTGTCCGTTTTTATTTAAAAAATGGGGCTAGAATTAAAAATCAGCAAATACCTTTTGTGTCGGATTGTTATAATGAAATAAAAGGGGAAATTAGGGGGCGGCTGCTGCTCTATACTCGTTTGTTTCGGGATTTTAGCAAACAATATAAAATTATCAAGCCGATTATCTATACTGATTTCTGAATTTTTGAAGAAAAAAAAGGATGTGTGGATAAATTTCTCGATTATTGTAATAAACTAAAAGAAAAAAAAGAAACAGAAAAGACCGGCAAAATTTTGGCTAACGCTTTTTACGGGGCAGTCGGTAAAGGTAAATTTGGTGGTTATAATTATCGGGCTTGAACAGTAGCGGTTAGCCATGTCGCGACTCTTAAAACTTATTATCTCTACCGGCAATTTAAACCAGAGGATGTCTTGGCCATTAGGAGTGATTGTATTTATGTGAAAGGGGAATTACCGGATAAATTTTTAAAAGAGAAAAGTAAATACCATATTACTAAATATCGGCAAGTCAGTTTTGACGGAGAAGAAAATATTTTCATCCACGACACCAACCACCTCCTCTCTTTCCTCTCCTCTCCCACACTCCGCTCCACTCTAATCAGCCAATTAGCAGCTAACAAAACAAACAATCATAGCAGCTAATTATCCGCTATCCTACACTTTGACCCAAATAAAATAATAATGATAGCTGCTAATAAACAGATAATAATATCCTAATCCCTAACCACACTCGGTATTAAAATCAGCAAGAGAATAACCAAACTAAATATAATAATCCCCACTATTATCCATCATTTTCCCTGTTTATCTCATCCCGAACATTTTTTACAATAATGTTTTTGTTCGTCATTTACTAAAATTTGCGTATAACTTTCTCCAACCTTAATTTCTTTTTTACATTTATCGCAGATAATCATAATATTATTAAAGGCGACGAGAAAGGCGAAGCAATTGTATTGCGAGCTTTCTTAAAAAAATATTCAAAATAATAACGCCGCCTCTAATAATTTTAGCAGAACCGCAGAGAAATTAAAGGATTAAGTAAGAAA